CTCAAGAAACTCTCAAAGCAACCAAAAACTAAACTCTCAAGAAACTCGGTGTCAAAACCCTCGTAACTCGATGTCAAAACTCTCAGGCACATGTAAACATCTCAAATCTCTGAAGAACACTCGATCTTAGTTAGTGGCTGTTTCTCATCAGCGCTGCATTTGCGAAGTTTGCTCAGGGTAATCCGAATCACCTCGCCAACCTTGTCAGCATCATCCTTGCTGAAGGTGGCTAACTTGCTCACCTCACCGCCATCTATATGGCACTGATAGATTGCCTGCGCAATCTTGGTCTTGTTTACCGCAGTGTTAGGGCACAGGATCAGCAATTCCTGGAACACAGCAGTGTACTTGGAAAGTATTCCCAACGCGGTCTTCGGCGTGCTGGTCCAGTTGCATTGCCCTTCTCTGGCCATCTGAAGCATATGGTGTAGGTTCCTTCCTGTCTCTGCCATGCCCTTTTCTAATGCTTCTTGAAGGTTGACCATGGAAACATTCCCATCAGCTGACAACCGTGAGCGCTTGGTTTTCAAAGCCATGGCATACGGAGACGTTTTCTTCGCGTCTCTCTAAATCAAAAAGTGGTGCTCAACGCGTTCAAGGGTTTCTGGTTCTTGAAATCTTTGGATTGTGTCGTGCTTTGGTCTCTCTAAACCGCTCAACGCTTTCAATCAACCACTGTTGGGCCAATGTGGTCCAGATACTGCGACGAACCAAATTGCGAGTTTGAAGCCCTAGTTGCTGCGTCTGGGTCAAGCAAACCTACTGAACATCAAGCCTGCCGACTCTGTGGAAGCTCTCCAAACTCTCCAAGCAAATTCCCTCAAAACTCTCCCAAAGCAAAGCTCTCAAAACAGTAGCCATTCCATGAAGTTGGTCCCTTTTGCTTCCCCTGCAGCTTTGGTATCGTTCGATTGTGTTCAGCTGAATGAAAACACTCAAACTGGATTGGCTGCGTTCAATATTGGATTGGCAGCACAGCACCACAGATCACAATAAGGCACCTGTACGCATGCATCATTGAACCCTGAACGCACCACCACCACCACCACCACCACCACCTTCACCACTCTCAGTAACTCTCAGAACACTCAGTAACTATCCAGCACCACCACCACCACGACCTGCACCACCACCACCAACAACAACAACATAGATACACTCTCAAGATTCGTTTGTTTCCAATTAATATTTTTTATCTATTTTTTGGGAAATTGAATTTTGTAATATTGGAAACAAAAGTTTTATTATTTGATAATAAATCTTTTTTATCAAAAACATATTTTTAAAAATAGAATTTTATAAAAATAGTAAAACCATTTTTTTTATCATTTTCAAGTGATTTTATCTTAAAGGATTCTTATGGATGTAAACAGGCAGTCGTGCCCTGTTGCCCTTTGGGATAGCACTTTGCTGTGTACTCCAAGGGGAAGCCAAGGATACATTCACGTTCTCTGACATTGGGAACACGCTTCACAACCCCATTCGTGACACAATTGACTGCTTTGTATTGGTAAGGTGGGAAACGATGATCATCTTCCTTCCAACGGGTCAGATCCTCTGCTGTGCACAAGTCTACCCCCGCTGGCTTTCGGCCGGGCTTGACAGATGGTCGAGCGGTGGTAAAGGTCGGAAAAACCTGGGTAGCCTCAACTCTGTGCCAACCTGGCTCCAGGAAGTCCTTCTCCTCTACCTCTGCCTGCAACTGCAACCTAACAGCCAGGGGCAAGCGCTGACGCTCATCAACAACCTTGAAGGCACCTTTGCATTCCAGTGGCTCCCAGTTAAACCAGTACAGCCTAGGCCTGCGGGCTAAGCTGATGCCACCTGCGTCTACTAGCCATGGGCGACCTTCGTACGCCTCATTCATAACCTCGCAGTCGCTGACATCCATCGAGGCCACGTTTTCAGCAAGTCGAAAAACCGGACACCACACCTGAAGAACCGACGCAGCAGCTGCTCCACCCTTGGGACATGGGAAAACAAGCTCGACCTAGCGTCACGCAACGCCCCTTTCGGTCACTGTTTAACCCCGATACGCCCTGGCATGGGGGTCCCGCACCCAGGATGACCGCGCTCACCCCGGGGTACAGGAGGCTCCAACTGCTGACCTCATTTTCATCAATGTCCTTGACGTCCACGATGATGTGCTTAACCTCCGGGAACCAACTCTCAACAACTCTTCGAGCGTCTTCCGAGATCTCAGCCGATACATAACCGGCTACGGGGACACGGAGAGCATCAATAGCTACACGCAAGGCGCCAATGCCATCAAACAACGACACCACCAAAATAGGTTCAACATCATCTTGGGAGAGGATGTCTCCCCTCGTCTGCGCCTGGGCTGCTGCGGCCCCATAGGGAGACAACTCTTTGCTTGCGCACAAGCCACCTCCACTGGTCGATGCGTCGCTGGCCGTGACACACTCCGAGATCTTGGTGCGAAAGTCCATGAAAGCTAATGGGGTCAGTGTGCAATGAATCTCAGCAATTCCAACTCAACATGTTCGCCTAGGGCTTCACGCCTCCGACCAAAGCTCCCCAACTCTATGATGCGCCTCGGCAGAGCATTCAACCCAGCGAGAAGAGGTCGTCGGAACATAGCAATGTAGACAAATCCACCTCCCACTGTCTGCAGCTCCTTGGCTGGTTCTCCTCGGGGGCGTCAACCAATGCTTTGGGCTCGGCCTTCTTCTTCGCGTAGAGCCCCTTGCTGGGTGATCTGCCTCGGGAGACTCCTCTTGGTGGTTGGCTGGGTCGAGGAACGGCACGGCTCTGGGAGGTCACACGATCTCCTCCCCTCTCACTGGATGCTGGCAGGCAGGGCGGTGCCTTTGGCGGGGGTGGTACTGCTCGGTGAGGCTTTTCTTCAGGCTGCTGGGCGTTCTTTTCTCTGGACTCTTCCTTTCTCTTGAGCGGGCTCCTGTCGCGTGCACTCGAAGCACGTGGGTTGGGACTGTCCTCCTTCTCTTCAAGCTCCTTGACCTTCCCGGCCCGCTCCCCCAGTAGTGTCTGGCACTCCTGGAGAAAGATCACGGCAGTCTCGTCTCGATCTGCCGCAACCAAGCTTCGAAGCGACTGCCACCCTCTTCGGCACGGTTCACAGATCGTCAAACCTGTCTCTCGTACCAAAAAGTGCTGGCAGCGCTCGCACGTTGGGAGGGGGGTTTTAGGTCCCCCTCCCATCCACACCCTTTCTGAGCCCGATGCTACGGTGAAAAAGAACTGACTCTGTGCTTAAATATGGGGACATTAAGCCATTCGCTCATGATGCTACATTCATTGTGGGCAAAGAGAGATTTACCTGATAATATTTATCATTGGTGTTGCACATTGATAGTGGGCAAACGAAGAGCTGTTATTTGTTGTCATTGACAATCAAACAAATTGCGTTTTGCCTAGTTCTCAGAGCAGTTTTTGAAATGTTGCACGGTAGTTACAGTGTTTTCTAAGGGTTTTGAGCCAGTGTGTGCTCTCCCAAGCGCACCCACCCTCTATATATATATATATATATATATAGCTTTGTGGTTGCAAAAGAACTGATCTCAAATCTGGCTGCTCATTTGAACAAGCCACTGATAGATATGGGTGGGGCAAATGGAATACAAACAAAAGTTGTGCAATGTTTCCCCTTGACTTGAGCAAATGATGGTGGATAAATGGCCAAAAGAGGTTAGTCATGTATTTTGATGACATGCTAATTATGAGAGCTAGATCAGCATCATTCCTGGAGAATATATTATTATATATATTAATTTGTATGTGTATATATATATGGATAGAATCCGGATATGGTAGGGGAAAATGTGTTTGCAAACCTGGTGGCTTTTCACGGGAACATGCAATGGAACCCATTTGGCTTTGAGTCGCATGCTTTCAAGAAACATCAAATAAATAACATCATTTGCTTGTTGCAAATGGGGGCATGCCTACTCCAGGATGATTTTAGATGTGAATCACGACAAATCATGATCATTGGCTGGTGTCAAAAAACCAACTTACTTAAACAAACCATGCAAAACAAATGTCGCACACGTTAAACCATGGTGCACACACCTGAACAACATGTTAAACATCGCGGGCATTCTCTATGCACTTCGCAGAAGGGCCTCGAGTTAGCTTCCGCTCCGAAACAGCCCCTTGCCAGGCGAGGACATTCGGGTCAACAGGAGGACGGCCCGGATTCATCCCCCAAAACGCTGCGGAAAAAGACCAGGACCAAGTTTTCGGTCAACATCCGAGCTAAACTGTTTCTTTCTTCTCACTATTGCACACCACCTGTCTTGTTTGGGGACGGCCAGGTCGAGAGCTCGCGCTCGCACTGCGGTCGCGCCGCCCCGAAGGTGGTGCGGTCGACCCGGTTCCAAGGTGCGATCCAGTCTTGGCCTAGGAGGCCGCAGCCGATGGAGGCATAGGTCTTCAAGGCACCCGCACGGAAGTGTGCTTGACACTTCCTCAGGTTGCGTGTTTTCGGGGACGGCGGGTGGTGCAAAATGGTTTTCACACCCTGTGGCCTGAGCTAAATGATTTGACAAAAAGGACAACAATGGAAAGGCTATCAGGCCTTGTTGCAAGATGTTGCAAGAAAAGTCCTGCCAGTCGAATTGACCTTGATTTACCCTATATACCTGGATCCTCCTTTGGGCGGAAAAAAGTGCCGGACCTCAATCCGGCAAATTTTTCCGCCGGATTCCGAAAAAAACGCCGGAGACCTGAAAAAACATCCGGATCCAAGATTCTGAAAAGCAGAGATGATAAAAGGCTGGATCATACACAAGCAAACTGCCTTTGCGCCACAAGTAGTTTTTTCTGGAACACACTCATTCCACAACCCAGCACTGGAGCCTTCCCGTTCCCATTGCCCTCGCCCATCTTCCGAATGGCCTAAGAGCAGAACCATCACAAAATATAAGCAAACTTGTGCCCAAGCAAAGACTTCCAAGAAGAAACCAAGGAGTATGTGGCAAGGAACCCCTATTTCTCTGCACCCGTGTCTCTAATTGTTTTTTACAAAGTGGCTCTCCATGATTCTTATATGGCTTTAGATTGTTTTTTATTGCTTGCCTCAGGACGGCCCCGCCAATAAAGTAGCAGCACTCATGGTTCCTGTCGAAACTCTTGGTTGAAAAACTTTTCAAAATTCAAAAGACTGAGTCCAACAAAATACGCCGGAGTTACGGGAAATTACGCCGGAGTTACGGGAAATTACGCCGGAGTTACGGGAAAAAACGCCGGAGTTACGACGTGCAATTTTTCTTAGCAACTCTCTGCAAAACATTGAGATTCTGAACAACACATGTTTCCACAGCCCAAAACTTGTCCGGCAGGCTCTGCAAACCTGCGCAACTAGAACTAATTATATCCCAGCGCCCCGACATCCTGAAACAATGGGAGTACATCTTTGCCTATGTTCTTTCAGCTTAGGTACTCCCACTTGGGTCTTTCAACACGTGCATCGCACTGTACCAATTTCATCCGATTTCACTTAGAAGATCACCTAAACGGATCTGATTGATCCAGTGTGAACCATGCTGAAACCGGTGGAATGAGAAAACAGCGGAACAGGCAAATGAGCACACTTTGCAAGCAAATCATTACCTTCAAAGAAATGCAAGCCACAAAGAATGCAAAGCCTTGAGAATCCACATTTCAAGTGACTTGGAAAAACCGCCGGACCAAATCCAGAAAAACGCCGGAGTTGGAAGTTCGGCGCCGGACCCTGTAAAAGTGCCGGACTGAAGGTCTAGGTATACTGAGCTTATTGTACTTTACGGTCGTAAATTGTGGCTTTTCTGTTGCAACAAGCTCTAGCTGGCCGAAGCTGATGAAGTGTCGTCACGCTGCGACGTTCGTTCGCTGTCACCGTGCGAAGCCCGTTCGGTCCTGTCCGTTCGGTGGTGGACCATGGAACATGTGAATGGCATGCGTGCGTCTTTCACTTTTGAAGTCACAGAACGGTCTTCCCAAGTCTTCTATCGCATCCAAGACTATTGACCTGGACCAAGCGGCAGCAAAAGAACACCACAACTACATGTGTTCAGATATGTTTAAATCCATTTAGCTAGAGACCTCATAGTTGGATGGCTTTTGAACTTGTGTATTATCAATTATAAGCATGCATAAACACATACACACACATCTAGCACCCCCAAGCGTACGACGACGACGCTCCACCGCGATCTCTCCAAGGCTCTCAAGGATGGTCTGCTCGACCGCTTGACGGACCTCAGGCCTCTTCGGGCGATAGGTCGGGCAAGAGGGGTCACCACACTCGCCCAGCGCACACCTCAACGAGTGGAGACAAAACCAACAGTGAACACAGAGAGAGAGAGAGAGACAGAGGGTCGGCCGAAATTGAAGCTTTGGCCATGTGATGTGTGAAACGCATGCTGTTTCCAATGAGGTGGACGTTCAGAAGAAATGCTGGATGTCTTTGGAGAAGCCGAGAAAAAAATTGGTCCTGGATGAACCGCGTGTGATCTCACGACAAGTGACACAGGGTTGCGCTGGCCATTGGGCAGAGTCGCCGGAAAGTTCATCTGCCACATGGCGAAATTGTTCCTCCAAAGGGACATCCCGGTCGAGTGCTTCGGACAGAGTCTCCGAGTCCATCTCCAAGCGTTTCAACGGTTCGATGTTGGTAAGAGGTACCCTGCTGCAATGACTCGTAACGGATCACCTCGATCTCCGGCCAAAAGAGACATGAACGTTCACAGTGTTCCAATCGCTTTCTCCATCACCTTCAGCACCATGTGCAGCTGCCGACTGTGGAGGTTGAAAACTGATTGGCTGCCCTCACTATTGAACCTATATACCTAATATCCTTTCTTACATGCACTCGAAAGTCTCTCACAGGCCCCCCCGCACTGAGGCCATCGGTTCTTGTTCCTCCCAGTCACCTTCTCCATCCCCAGATCTGTCCTCTCCGGCTGCCGGCGGATCGCCGCCCGCACCTCGCGCCGCAGCTGGGCGCCCACGGGCGGGCGCTGGAAGTCGGGCCACCAGCGGCGGCAGGTGCGGGGCAAGTCCTGCGCGTCCTGCGCCGCGGTGACGGTGACGGTGGTCAGCTTTCAGCGCATTTCCCCATGGGAATCACAGACCCTCCACCAAAAAAGGGCATGTACAAAAGCTCTTGGAATCAGCGCCATGAAAAAAAGAAAAAAACCTTACATGATGAGAATCAAACTGTCCCCCAAAAACCTAGGCGGATTCCCAGCAATAGGTAGGGTTGTGTGTGTGTGTGTCTGTGTGCGTATGTGTTTTTTCTCATTGGCTGCCGCCCTTATGCCACTCCTGTACCTCCTCGGATGGCGCATCTCGCAGTCGCACGTGCGACTGCGCACGTGGCGCCATCGCCGGGGCAAGAGGCAAAGGTGATGTCAAAAATGGGATGTTGAGGGAGTGAAGCCCCGGTGCTCCGAACATCCGCAGATCTGGCTTCTGTGACGTGTGGCATTTTGGAACTAGAAGTGGCTCCGAAATGTGTCGGCTCAGCTCGCCCGAGCCGTGTCAAGCAGCTCAATGCAGCTCATGCTCACAGGAAGTCTGTGCCAGCTACCTGACACCACTTGGCAATGCCAGTCATGCGCATCAACCAACCAATTATGGATGAGCATTGGTGCTGTCCTGACCTGAAAACCTTGCTGAATTACAGTGCACGTGTTTGAGCCGAACAAAACGACAGGAGATCTGGACATCGAAGGGTCCCAAAGCAGATTGAACCGACCCAGGTCTGTCTGTAAGCTCAGTGTCCTCATGCGCAGGTCAATTGTTTTGAGTTCAATGTACGGGCGCTTTGTGGTGACCATAAGTCAAACATGGAGCTTGGCCTCATACTCGATCAGTTTTAGGACAGCAACTGCCTTTTCGATCCCAGGAGTCACGAAATCATCCCGTATACCATAGCAACTTGATGTTTTCAGTGGATCATTGATGGCATTCCGCATTCCTGGCTTGCACACAGTATCCTTCCCTTGCGGGTAACTTCTCCGACGGTCCATCCCGGGCTTGCCGCCTCCGACCCGCCCCGAAGCAACGACACACGCGGAGCCTGCCAGATTCAGCACCGTGACACCTACGACCTCTTCCTCTCCCACTGGGTGTGCCATGGCGCGAGGACAAAGCTCCAAAGCGAAGCCCGGTTCTTGTGCATTCAAGAACAGCAACGGTCGTAGAAATGGGATACTACGTCAAGACTTGGAAATAAACAACTAGATCCTCCCAGATTCGATGCATGGTAGGACTTTGCTACATATATATACTCCCATGTTGTCATGATCAAGAGTTTGAGGGCTTCAACATGCTGAGGGGAATGGCCCCAACAAAACAAACATGTGTTAAAGGTCAAGGTCCCGATTCAACAACCTTGTGAAGCAAGTTCGCCACAATCATTCCTGTCAGCTCAAACTGGCTACCACAAGTAATGCCTGTATCATCCTATATATATACTATACTATAATTTCAAACCAGGTTAAGAGAAAGGACTCCACCTATAAGCTTTGCACATGAGGGTGTTCCTTTAGCTTCTCTTGGTGGGCTGCACCAGCCTCATCACTCAAGCTACAGCAAGCTTCTTTAATTCGCTCTCAGCAACCTTCCAAAAACATCCAAAAACCTCCACATCACGTCTATGATGCCAGGAATTAAGGAAGGAAGTAGAGTATTCATGGCATACCAACCATCCGGATATGATCCAGATCTTTTGCATCCTCTGTCGTGGCCGGCTGTTTCTCTGTCGTATGGCTTCCGGGCAGAACATGGGACTCATAGGACCCGCCAGCACAAGCCAGTCTTTCATTAGATGTGGCAGGGGTTCCGACCAAAACCCAACATGCAACCAGCGTGGCCATGCAACACCCAAAGCTTGGGGGCTCGACCTGCTACACCCCTGCAGTGCCAGAAATCAGTCCCGCAAACCTCCCTCTTGCGCACCTTCACCATTTCCAAGGCATGACATAACTTCCCGTTAAGTTCCTTCCATCTGCTGAATGTAAAGAATTGGTTTACGTTTTCTCACATGTCCGTTTCGCAGGGTATGCCCTTCAAAATCCAAGCTGTTTCCAAAAGACTGACATAGCAGGGCATGTAGAAAGGACCGACCTGGGGTGCTTCGGTGGAAGCTCTCACCGCGCGTGCTATTAGCGCGGACTGGTCCCCAGCAGTCAGGTGTCACACCTCGGAAACACCTCGATCATCAATGAACCCAGTAACATCTGCGCGCTTGCGCAGCCGCCTGGGTGGAAGGCATGACAATAAATACCCAGTGCATCCCACGCAGTTACCACTATAGTCTTAAGGAACCAAGGATTCTAGGTCTTTTGGTCTTTGGAACTATCTGGTTACCAGCTATAGTGGTAACTGGATGCCCTGGGATAGGGTTCATTTATTGCATCCACGCGACTTAATGTGCAACCCATTGACCCACGCTTGCAATCTATGCGTTGGCACTAGCAACCTGGGACAAACACACCAGTTTAGCTTAGAAGTCCTGTTCTTGTTGATGGCCCTTCCAAGAAGCTCATCCCACCCCCTTCTGTCCAAATCCTGGGCATCCATGCAGGATCCTGCAAGCCTTTCATCGGCTGGAAGAACTTCCGCGTGCCCTGCCACCGCTCGCTCGTTTCATCGCGGTAGCGGTTTCACGCACTCGGCCGGGTCATGGCTGGATGGTCGGTCCCTTAGTCGGCCGCTCGCCCACTCATCAACCGCTCCGAAGGCCGGGCAGTCACTTGCGCACTGGGAATTTCGGTCACTTGCGCACTTTGGGTCACTTGCGCACTTGGCATCAAAAATTTAGGTCACTTGCGCACTTACCTGCTTCCTAGCAACGGGTGGTGCCTACTCCACATGCAACTAGTGAATGGGTTGGGGTGGGGGGTGGGGGGTGGGGTGGGGGGGGTGGGGGGGGGTTGCAGTTGCCAACCATACAAAGGGACTCAGAAGTGCTGAAAAAGTTGCCAAGTTGGACAAGGTCAACATCTTTACACACACACGCACGCACTCACGTTTTGATTGCCTTTCACTACTTCTGCCATACAAACTCAGTTGTGGGGTGGGGGGTGGGGTGGGGGGGGTTGCAGTTGCCAACCATACAAAGGGACTCAGAAGTGCTGAAAAAGTTGCCAAGTTGGACAAGGTCAACATCTTTACACACACACGCACGCAGGGTTCTATTCCGTAGTAAGCGTCGTAGTAGTAGTAGTAGTAGTAGTAGTAGCAGTAGTGGCAGTAGTAGTAGTGGCATGCACTACTAGTAGTGGCAGTACTATTGGTGGTAGTAGTAGTAGTAGTAGTAGTACTTATCCGATGTATGATACAGAGGCATCGGTCTCTCATCGGTTTTCAATGTATGCTCAATGGAAGACCTCGGTCTTGGGTTTTCCTCATCGGTTTTCAATGTATGTTCAGTGTAAGACCGACCAACCTAAAGCGTTTGGTGACGACATGTTCGGACAGTGCTCAAATGTCAAGTGTACAAGCGACCATAATTTCAAGTGCACAAGCGACCCAAATTTCAAGTGTACAAGCGACAGCTCGCCCGCTCCGAACCGCGTCCGAACCGCCTGGCTGGATCGGCCGAAGCGTTGCACCTGGGCAGGCTGGATCGGTACATCGGTACACAGTGCGGAGTGCGTGAAGGTGGAGTCGTGTGTCTTTTTCCGCCGCGAGGTTGGATTGCGGATAAGACATGATCTTATTGCGAGTTTTTCTTCAGTATTTCGGCCCTTTCGGCTGCTAGGTTTGGAATTATAAGATATTGTAAGACAGCGGGGGAACGTTCAACAATAATTGTTGTTGTTTGCAATGGAAACCTGTTTTGATCGATTCGGGCACAAGTATAGTATCAACATATAAAATATATCAACAAAAAGAGCTTACAACTGCGAGACAGGAGCCCGGAAGGCGACCGCGGGTTTGCTTTCTCCAGTGCTTTGGGGTTGCAAACCCTCTGGGTTTAATTCATCCCTTGTTCTGGAATTCCAGGGATAAAACACATAATTAGTGATGGTCTCACTCCCAAACATAGATTGTCATACATTAGTTTCAATTCGATCATCTGTGCATTGACCGAAACAAGAAGCTCCAATTCCCAGGCCCAACTGTTTCACAAAAGAACGGAGACAAACCCCAGCTTCCCCAATGCAATGATTTCTCCCATCCTTTGATGATAAATACGGTCCAGTATGTAATATATAAATCTATACAAGCGGTGTGACGGTATGACCCTTCAGCTGGCCCATGAAGTTCGAAGCCTTCCAAGCCCAAATTATCCGCGTTTTTTCGAAGTCCCTGCCTCGAGTGTGAGCCTTGCCAACAACAGTGGCTCTGCCTGGGTGCGACCGCGTGCAAGACCCACAAAAAGTCTACCACTGTCAACTTCCACTGGGTTTAAGGATGTAACATCAGAACAAATCTCAACATCAGAACCCGCCAATGTAACCTTCATGTTGATGTTTCTGATTCCTGATGCAGCTCATCTCTGAGCTGTACCAGCAGCCCTGATGAGATTCTTCATCTCGAGCCCCTTCTCTGGTTCAGAATTCCTCTCCACCAATACTGGATTCTTTCGCATCTTGGCAATTGAACATGGCCTCTTCAGCCTGTTCCATCGCCGATGCCGCCAACTCACGCGTTGGGGCCTGTTCCGACCACCTGCGAGCCACGCCTTCGAAGACTCTGTTTTGGGGCAGTTCGAGCGCCAGCTCGCGCGTTCCTTCCAATCGGCTCACCGTTCGCTGGCCGATCAGTCCTCTTGTAAGCAAGTGGATCGAGCCAATCCGTCAACACCCGAAAGGGCATGTATATATTAATTTTATAATATATGTATATATCTATATATGAATCGTAACAGTGTTGGATAGCGTTTGGCTTCCGGAGGACCCTCATGGTCCATGTTGTTTCAACGGTAGTTCTGCGACGGCTTGGCCCACGGGGAACCCGCGGAGAAACATCGACGAGGTCGACGAGGAACTCTCTGGAGGCCGAGTCCGGAGGTGTCCGGCATGCCTTCGTCAAGAATGTCGAGACGTGTAGACTACCAAGATAGCACTAAGAGTGACATGCTTAGATTTATAGAATTTATATAGTATAATCAATATATATGCTTGAAATTATGATCCATTTGCCAAATCTAATCCTATCCAGTGTAGACTACAGCGCGTGGACATGTGTCGATATGTGTTCCTTGCCCATGTTGAACATGTGTCATGTCGCGTCACCAACTCAGCAGCTCGAAGTAGATATCTCAGGCGAGTAGAGAGACATCTCAGTAGTATGTGGATTTGTGCCATGAAATCTCAAGAGAACTTCCCTCCAAACCACCTCCCAAAATCCGATCCGAGGGAGGCAGTCCTAAGATATCACAAATAATCTGGTGAGTCCACTGTCTGGCAAAACACGGGG